GGGGGGGGGGGGGGGGGGGGGGGGGGGGGGGGGGGGCAACGCAGCCCTCACAGAGAGATATGTAAGGGCGCCGCCAAGCTGTGGTGTCGTCTACCGCCAACGTGTCGAGGTACGGGTGTCGAGAGCCGAAGCGTCACGAATAATTACCCAACATCTAGGAGATTCGGCCCCAAGCCGAGACCAAAGAACAAACAGCTGAAAAAAACGGCAACAAGTTCGTCCCGAGCAGTCGCACAACAAACAGCCTCCAAGGGAGACTGTCACCACGCAGTCGGCTAGCTTCAAGTTCACCATCGCGATTGGGTTTCCCCTTACATCATCCGTGCGTGCGAGGCTGTTGGGATCCGTTTGCACCAAGCTGTTGAGATTGTGCCGGACCGCTCGTTCCATAGCACGGTCGCTGGTTTCCATCGGTGCATGCACACCCTACCGAGACCCCGAGCGAACCTCTTACCTGCTCCCGAACCTTGTCGATTTCGGCCTTTGCCTCCGCCGGACTCATGCAGTCCGCGTGTGTCCCGACTAGAAGAATGAGCGACCCGGGAACTCTGCAGTTGTTTCGTGGACACAAAAATGCGGTAGAAAGCCGGCACAGGGGACGTTGGCCCAGCAACGGTAGGCGGAGAACCGTGCAGCGCAAGCGTCGAAATAGGTGAGGGACTTTGGACAGCCCTCTACGACACACGGACGGGAGAAGTTGCTAAAATGTGTCGCGGAGAAACTCTATGTCTGAGATGTGACGGCTCCTAGGTAGAGGAGATCAAACAGGAAAGGTCGGTACCTACTGCAAGCGGTGGGAAGAGCGTGCGATGTTCAGAGTAAGACAATGATGAAGAGAAGGTGATGCCGAGTGTGCGTACGAGGCAATGGCTGGCATTTGAAAAAAGTATACAGTTTCGGCGGTCGGTCTGGAGGGCAACACTTGTATTCTAGCGAGTTACTGTTGTTCGGCTCGACGCCGGGCGCCTCTGGTCGACACGCTATCCACTGGCACAGACCAAAAACCACGACAGCTATTATCAACCACCTCTACCACCACCAACACCATCGGTTGGGCTCGAGGGCAACAAGTCTGAGAGCTGAAAACCAAGTGAGCAATATTTGTACTCTAAACAGCAATAATTTCATTGCTCGGCTCGACGCCGGACGCCTCTGTTCGACACGCTATATAATGGCACAGACCGAAAACCACCACAGCTATCATCAACCACCACTACAACCCCGTACCAACAATGACCACAGCAATGCAGATTTCGACGACTTGGTCTAACTTGGTCTACGACTCTTGTCCAATACGCCTGTACTACGGTGGGGGGGGCGGGGGGGTGTACTCATAGTCGTGCATGCCGTAGTCGTTAGGCCATTGACCTCGCATCCCTACAAAGCCGGGACGGAGCACGCCGGGTTCTCACTGGACCAGGCTCTCACATCACCAAGCGCGAAGCGCCGTGAGGTATTCGGCGCGTCGCATGAAGGGTGCGCTGCATCCTGCTAAGGGTGTTCGGCAACTTGTGCTTACTTCCTTGCGTACGGATGACAGCTGCGTATGACTTAATTTATTTTCTGGTGCTTTCATTTCCTGAGACAGTTGTAAGCACTGTTGTTGTTGTAGTTGTTGTTGTTGTTTCTCACATTAGCTCTAGAGTCCACAAAAAATGGGGAGCCCGTGGTCTCAAAACCCGGCACATACGACGCCGCGGGAAAAAAAAGAAAAAGGGTACAAACCACTCGGAAGAAGAAAACAAAATGATAGAAAGAAAAGAACAGGTATCGCACCGACCGTTCGAAAAAAGAGCCCTCGGAAACCGATCAAAATAAACAAAAACAAAAATAAAGGAGGAAGCTTCCCACACCCGCCCAAAGAAAAAATCAAAGGGTAACGTACCAGCACCACGACCACCATTAAGGTTACCGCCAAAAAAAAACAACGGAGGCAAAAAAAAAAAAGGTAACCTGGTTGCCGAGTTCACGAA